ATTATTGTATCTAAAGATCCAAATGCACGCCTAGAAACAGATGGTCATCAAGCAGAGAAATAAAAACCCTAACAAAATCCAGTCTATAAATAATTTCCTCGAACTGTAGCTCTGCGTGTACATCTGATATGCGTAAGATAAAGTACCTTTATCATATCGATTGGTTGAATAACACAGGTCGCCAGCATACCAGAGGCACCGCCATTAACGAATGGCTTCACAGTGGGCCAAACTCCAGTCGATTTCGTCTTCTCCTCCCCCATTGTCAAATTCAATTAATTTACTTCTCTCTAGTTTTTCTCCAAGCTAGAGAGAGAGAGAATTGGTGGTTGCCGGTGGGCTAATGCAAGCTTGAGACTAATTTAAGGGCGTCACCTACCTCGGAATAATTACTTGCAACAACAAATGTGTATGTACAATAAGGTGCAGTCGAGTAAACTAGGGCGGTCGAGTAAAATATGGCGGTACTATTTACCGCCCCATTTTATTATTTACCGTCTTCTTAAACGATTTTGTTCTTTTCATTTTTTTTAAACATCTCAGAGCAAAGTATACGGTGAAATGTCGTTAAATTCTGAGGTACGAAAAATTTTGTATCCGGCCGCCGGAACCGGACGGTCGGACGGCTTAACAGCCGTCCGAAAACGACGGCCGGTCAGAACCGGTCCGTCCGGTTCGACCGGCCAGACATAATTTTTTTTTAATTATTATGTTATATATTCGAAATAATTATGTTATAAATTGGACTATATTATTATGTTATAAATTATTATATTACATTTTAGACTTGATTATGCTATAAATTGGACGTTTATCGTGTTAGAAGTTACAAATTATTATGTTACATGTTGATTATAATATAAATTGGACGTTAGATATTATCGTGTTACGAGTTAGAAATTATTATATTACATGTTAGTCTTGGTTATGTTATAAATTGACGTTAGATAGTATCGTGTTAGGAGTAACAAATTATTATATTACATGTTATAGTTGATTATATTATAAATTGGACGTTAGATATTATCGTGATCGTGTTAGGAGTTACAAATTATTGTGTTACATGTTAGACTTCATTATGTTATAAATTGGACGTTAGATAATATCATGTTATGAGTTACAAATTATTATGTTACATGCTAGAATTAATTATCTCAATTTAGCATGTTCTAAAAATATAAATATTGTACTATATAGCAGGAGTCATGGAAAGATTTTGGAGGAGATGGTGTTGATTACAGTCTGAGTTTCGATACCTGTACATTATGTAATAGTGCTCAGGACGCTATTGAAGCTGCAAAACACCAGACAATGCTGAATGGTTTCCTATTAATAATTTCGAGCCACAAAATGAAAACGGTCAGACTTTTAAAGTGCCATAGAGGCGAACGGTACAGAGGCACAGGCGGAAATTTTAGAAAGACAAAAACGAATAAGTGCGGCTGCAATTTTGAGATCAAAGTAAAAAAGGTGTCCGACGCTCCATACTGGAGGATCTGTAGATGCAGCAATGAAGAGAAGGGCTACCATAACCATACATTTGTTGTGTAACCTGAGGGTCATCGCCAGTTGAGCGGCCTCAACGCTTCATCTAAGAAAATTGTTCGTGATATGACGGACGCTCAGGTGGCCCCGACAAAAATTATGGCCGCACTGAAGGAAAAGAATCCGGGAGACAACGTTCATGTGCGACATGTATATATATTTATATCTTGTAATATATGTTTTAATTAACTTTTTGAAGTTAATTATGATAATTAGTAATTTTTTATATATAAAAGTTATTGTAATAATTAATAAAATTTATTATATTTACTAATGTATTATTATTGTGATAGTTAAAAAATTTTTTATCACATTAATCGCATTAATATACTTTTTTATTTATTAACATAATATTTTTTTTAAAATTATAATAATCATTATAATTAATGCTAATCGGTGACAGGTATATAACTTTAGTGATAAGCTGCGGAAAGAGAGTTTCGACGGTAGAGACGTTCCTTCCCAGCTTATGCATTTGTCCGTGACCAGCGAGTATACAGTTTATGCAGAATCCGATCCGAACACGAAAGCGTTGACGCATATATTCATGGCCCATCCTGCGTCGATCAATCTATTCCTGACATATCACTGGTATGTCGGCATAGATTCCACGTATAAAATCAACAAGTATGTTACTTTATAAATACTTTATTAGTACGAATCTTAAATAGTGTGTTTGATTAAGTAAACTTTTATTTGATTATATTTTTTGTCTTCTTGGTCTAATTTGCACAGGTACAAGATGCCGTTGGTCGAGATGATTGGGATGACACCGTGCAACCAGAACTTCCTAATTGCGTATGCGCTCATCAGGGACGAGAAAGAGGCTAGTTACAACTGTGTTCTAGAGAAGTTGAGACTACTGATAGACCAAGACGTATATCCTTATGTTGTTGTCAGTGACAGAGAATTGGGTTTACTCACTCCTATTCAGAGGCATTTTCCTGAATCAGCCCACTCACTCTGCACGTGGCACATCAACAAGGATGTGGAAGACAAAGCCTAAAAACTATTTGAGAAGAGTAAAAAATTCTCGGAGATTTTCAGGCACAGTACGTGGAAGGCGATTGCAGAGGCCAGTACGTTCGATGCCTACACCGATGCCGTTGCCGAGCTGCACGCAAAATATTCGAAGTCTCTAGAAGTGATACGGTATGTGGAGGGCACATGGTTAGGGCACCGCGAGAAGTTTGTGAAGGCTTGGACCAACTGAGTGACACATTTTGGAAACACAACTTCCTGTAGGGTGGAGAGTGTCCACTCTGTGTTGAAGGAGTGGCTTCAGACGTCCACCGGTGCGCTCGATACAATTTGGCAGAAGATTAATAAGCACATCGATAATCAAGTGACTGAAATCAAGTACGTACTGCAATTTTTAAATGCGTTATTATATTACTGCACTAATTAATTATAATCTAACGTTATGTAACGTATTATCAGGACGGCGCTTGAGGCCTCGAGATTTAAGAAGAATATACGGTATAAGGGAATCCTTTTCACGAGCGTGATACTGAGGGTCTCGCATTACTGTCTGAGTTTATTGGACGCTGAGCTTACGAGGATGCACGACTTGGACGTCGATGTTTACACTAGCTGCGGCTGTGTATTGCAGCTCACTCATGGACTTCCTTGTGCCTGTCTGCTCCGCAACGCAGTTGATTTCAACATTTCGATTGATCTCGGAATGATTCACCATTTCTGGAGAACGCTACAGATATTAGAGCCAGGTAATTTAAGGTTAATGTTTTATTTATAATTTTCTATTAAAATACATTATTTGGTTTAATTCATTGACTTTTTTATCGTATACTTGTAGGGACTGGTCATCAGAGCCAGGCGAGCCAGACTGCATGGTCAGATGCGGAGTTCTTTCAGACGCTTGTGAGTGAGGTTGAAACCCGCGATCCCGCGTCGATGCAGTACGTGAATCAGTTCATGTACATTCATCTTTACCCAGACCAACAGGATTATGCAGAACCTGAGGTTAAGGATAACCCGCGAGGTCGTCACAAGAAAACTAATTCAACTAAGCGTAAACCATCTGATTTTGAGTACAACGATAGACCGCGACGTCGGAAATCGAGCCGTACGACCACTTCTTTGCGTGGACAGACAAGTTCGTCTTCTCAACAGTCACAAGGGGAAGAAGGTTATACATTTTTTTTTTTAGATATGGCTGAGCGTTAATTAAAGTATTTATAGGATTATATAAAATGTGACGTGAAATTATTATGATATTTATTGCAGAGTTTAGACCGAGAAATAGATTTGGATTTTCAATGTGGCAAAATATCCCCTGGCATATGTTGGACTACATAGTGAGTTACCTGAATGTGGATGCGGATGGTAACTGCGGATTTCGGGTCATCGCGAACACGTGTATGGTCACCAGAAGTACTGGGCAGATGCAAGAGAAAGCATTGCGAAGGAGGTCGATAGCCACCGTGAATTGTACGAGTACATCTATTTTAGAGATATCGACACCGGACTCCGTCGCGTAAGGTGGGCCGACGACCCTTGTGGACGGTCTCACTGGTTCGAAGTTTCGCAGGACCTCTACGCCGTTGCGACCCTATTTAATGCGGTTGTCGTTCTGTTGGGCTCTGGTCCGCAAGGTGGGCAGCACGACTTATTCAGCATCACAGTGTTGCCTCTCATTGCACGATCATCGGCTAGAGGACCATGTCGTGAGATTGTCATGTGCCATCTTGGTACCGTAGAACACTACATTCGTTTAGATTTGGCTCATGATTGTCCATTGCCGCCTATTCATTCCATGTGGTTCCGTTACCGAGATTGATCAGTTGTGGGTTGGGAGGATCAGTACGAGGCTAGGTTGCGATTGTGGTTTACTGTTAGAAAAAAACCTTGTTGAATAAAAGAACGATATTATTCACTTGTGGTATGACGCTTCTCATTCAACTTAAGTTTAGCAAATAAAAAACAAAATGAAGAATTATTTATTTATATAAAAATAAAAAAATTTAAGTGGACAAAAATAGAAAATAAAAAAAGTAGGTCGACAAAAATAAAAATCACGTATTTTAAGAATACGTTTTTCAAATCACGTATGAACTAAAAGTGGTACTACTCAGAAGCAAATGCGGTACTATTTTCATTCGAAGTGGTACTACATTTGTAATTGTGATTTTTTTTTATCCTTCGTGTCTACCACGTCACGTGGATCGTTAACGCGTGATTTGTATGAAAAATAATGGAAGTTAAAACATATAGGTAGAAATTGAAGTTAAATTATAACATATATGAATATACTATGTATTAAAAATACTATATACTATAAAAAAAAACCATTCAACTTAATGTTTTACAAATAATAAATAAAAAAAATCATTCAACTTAATGTTTTACAATAATAATAAAAAAAAAAACATTTATTACATCATTATTGGGCATTGTCGTAATCCAACTTAAACTTAGCAAAATCTTCTTGGACTTCCGCCGCCTCCGGACATTCAACAAGGAACTGCTGCATGGTCGATGTAATGCCCAAAAGACGGTCCACCCACTAAAAAAAATGATAGAATAAAAAAATATGACTAAAATTTATTAAAAAAAATTATTGTAATGAAATAACATTAATTAAAATTTAGTAACCAACTTACATAGGCGGTATTGACACGCGTAGGGACCTTGTTCTCGTCCGGCAGTTCCTCGCCCATGAGAGTCGGATGGGAAACCCGACTGTACCACTGCAGGTAATCCTCAGTCGCCTCCCCGCGATCCTGTGTGGTGGGGGTCAACATACCGGTGTTGACCGTCCCAGAAATCGGGAACTGGGTCCAGGCACCTACTGCAGCAGCCTTAGAATGCTCAACCCTGTAGTTCCTAGACTCCCAAGCATGTACTGCGCGCACTGGTTGGCA